CCCCCAACTTCTACGATTCGCAGGGAGATCCCGCCTTTCCTCAGGACATGTCTATATCCTCACGCCCTGGCCCAGGCCCAGAGCAACCGTATATCTCACCAGGAGTGAGCAGCAATCCCGCCACCACGACTTCTATCAAAGATTACCCGACACTGGAGGTCACCGAGATAAGCCTATCGCCGTGTATGGAAGCCCATGCGTTGGAGGATAGCAGCAGCAGCAGCAGCAGCATCGCCGCGCCACCCAAAATAAGACGAACCCCGTCCCCGTCGTCTCCTGCAGCAACAACCAAAACCACAAGCACATCGTCGTCGTCGTCGTCGTCGTCGTCGTCTTCTTCTTCTTCGACATCCCGTCACCGCAAGAGCAGTCTCCGCAGCCGCCACAGCAGCTCTCATTACTCGCAGCACCGTCGCACCGCCACCGCGGTCTCCATCACCCCCATCACCGACCAGACTACCCGCAGAGAGGATCTCCTAGCCCTGCATCGGGAATCCTGTCGACTGTTCCAGCAGCAGTCACAGGAAGAACAACAACAGCCACCCCCTTTGACCCCGCGCAATCAGCGCTCCCCCAGTACCAGTACCAGCTCCAACGTGGCAACCACCCTCAGCAATACCAATACCAACACCAAGACAAGAAACGGCGGCAAGTACTCGCCGATCTCAATCCACGAAGTGCACAAGACCCCCGTCCGCGCATCCACCCTCCCGGTATGGGACTATACCGATGAAGTCACGACCACCACCCCCAAAACGACCGTGACCGTGATCGACTGGACCTCGCCGTCCACGCGCCGACGGGAGTACGAGAAGATCGACAAGGCGAGCAGCGGGATGCGTGGGTTCTGGCGGCGCGTGGCGCCGAAATGGTGTCAGTCGCGGGCTCGGCGGATGCCATTTTTCGAGGAGAAGGATGGGAAGGGGAATTACGAAGGGAGCGTGCGACGCTTCCGAATGGATATCCCGGAGTGAGCGGCCAGGTTGTTGATGGCCCATCTAGCCATCTTTTTTTTGTTTTCGTCTTGATACCCATACCATAGATTGTCAATCGTTATTTTTTGCTTAGTTTATCCTATCTTACATCACATCGCATCACCTACAGGTGGTTTTACATGAAGACTGTCTTGGGATCATATTTTATACAGCTAGACTGACCGAATCAATCATGTACCCCAAAACCTGAACTTTTTCTAAGAAAACAGAAAGTACAGTAACGCCAGAACACCATTCTTGCTTGCGGGGTATCATCACAACAAATCGAAATCATCCATCTTGTTCTTGTAGGTCATGATCGACCTCTTGATCTTGCTGCTATCCACCCAGGTCACAAAGTCCTCCATGTTGCGGGTGATCAGGTACGCGGGGTCGGTGACGACCTCCGTGCCGACGCGGACGTGGCCCTGTTCGATGAATGTGTTGGCCTGCACACGGGGAATAATTAGCACCAGCTCGCACCAGCCCAGCCCCCAAGAAAAAGGGAAAGACCTACAGCAACAACATTCTCCACCATCCCACTGCGCGCCATAAACACGCCCAGCCGGCGCCTACAGAACGCCGAGACGGTGACCTCGCGCTCAACCCGCGACAGCCCGGCGCCCTGCTCGCGGCTCTGCTTCAGGATCCCCATGCGCCACAGCTTGTCCAGCATGTCGGCCTCGAGCTTGCGGCGCACGGGGTCGGCGGGGTCCAGCTCGCTCAGCTTGTGCGCCAGCTGCCGCAGCGAGCCGCACAGCGTGTTGTACTTGCGGTAGTCGAGCGGGTCCTGCAGGTGGTAGCGCGTGCGGATCGTCGACTCGCGGTGGTTGTTGTCTGACTTGTACGTGTGGAAGTCGACCTTGCGGAGGAGTTTTTTCTCGTGGTGCTTGAGCGCGCGGACCATTTTAGCGGGTTTTTCTCCTGGTGGGCTTTTTTTTTCTTTTTTTTTTTCGGAATAGTCTCTCGGGACGGTGCTGTGGAGGTGTCTTCTCGGGGAAGGCGAAGAGGTAGGTGTTGATAAAGTTGGTAGGTATAGTTGTTTCGTACTAGCTAGTCAATAATGGTGTTGATGGGTGGGTTTCTGCTGCGTGATGAGGAGAAAATTTGGGATGAGCGGTGGGGATATTGCCGGTTGTATTTGGGCAGAGGGCTTGGCGGTGTGTTGGCGGTGTGACTCCCCCTAACTATACGGGCCATCCCAATATCCATCTTTCTATTCTTCACTTTTGTATCGAAGACTTACCGGGAAATTATGAGTTTCTCATTATCGACTCTTTTAGTCGTTGTCAGATATTTTCATTTCAAACAAGTCCACTTCTTCGCTACCCTCTGCCTCGGACAGTATCAGCTTAACCATTACTGCTCCATTTATCCCAGGTCAATTAAACAGCAGACCCAAAGTCGTGTGATCTATACATCTATATACGCATCTCAACCAACCTTCAGACATCGACTAAACACTGCACCAACTCTACCCAACACCCTACAGCCCAGGAATAATAGTCCTCAACCCCATGGCAAACCGCTTAATCTGGCCCGCATAGTAATTCTAGGCAAGAACCCGTCAGCAAACCACTTCTCCCCAGTCAACCTGGAGAAAACAGCAAACATACCGATTCCAACCCCGCGCCAACACCCTTGAACGGCAGCAAGCGCACCAACGCCGGCACCGGCACGCGGCCCAGCACCAGCCGGGCCTTCTCCTCCGCCAGCCCGTCGTCCAGGAACACCCTGGGCAGATCCGGATCGATAGCCGCCGGACGACCGAGCCCGATGATATCGCAGACATTCTGCTGGACCGCCGCCTCGGCGCCGGCCCGAGTCCGGAAGCCGCCGGTCAGCATCAGCACCAGATCGGGGAACCGCTGGCGGGTTTCGCGGGCGAAATCGAGGAAGAACGCCTCGCGGGCGAGGGTGCGTTCGCTCTTGGGAGCAGCGTCCAGGCCCATCATCTGCCCTCGCTCGTCAGTACGGTCCCTCCGCAGAGGTGGATGAAGACTGGCGAAAGGCGGGCAATTGATTGAGGAAGAAAAAAAGCAAAACCCACCTCAGGATTCTCATAGCTGCCTCCACTGATTTCCAAAAAGTCCACACCAGCCTCCACCAGCAGCTGGATCTGCGTCATCGTCTCCTCGAAGGTGCTCGAGCTGTGATCCGCCGAGTTCAGCTTGATGCCCACCGCGAACCCGCGCGGCACGACCTCGCGCACCGCACGGATGATGTCCAGCACGAATTTCGCGCGTTTCTCAGCACTACCGCCGTACGCATCGGTGCGTTTGTTCGTCTGGAGGACGTCAGCTCAATTCCCCGGAGCCCCAGAAGCAAATGCGCAAACCTTCGCATTCAAGAATTGATCTAAATCCACCGGTCAGCACACCCACCCACCAGACTTCAAGGAAGAGACGAACCAATCAAATACCCATGCGCGCCGTGCAACTCGACGCCGGCGAACCCACTATCGGCCATCACGCGCGCGGCGTCCACGAACTGGCGCACCACGCGGTCGATGTCCGTCTGGTCCATCGCGCGCGGCGGCGGGAACAGGAACCGGCTGATCCAGCGCGCGAGGAAGCCGTCGCCGCCCATCTGCAGGGGGATCGGGCTCGGGGCCAGAGTGGGCGCGAACACGCCACGGCGGCCGGCGAACCGCGCCGACTGCCGGCCCGGGTGGCACAGCTGGACGATGCCGGGGGCGCCGTGCTGCTGGATGGCGGTGGCGTAGGGGGACCAGCTCGCGAGGAGGGGCTGCATGGCGGGGTCGGTCTTGTCGGTGTAGTCGCCCTGGAGGGCCGGGTCGAAGGGCTGGCCCATGTGGTTGATGTCGACCTGGACGTTTCCTGTTGGTGATGCATCAGAGGGTGGCTCTTTAGAATCACCAAATGCTGTAGATTTCCCATAGAGTTGCCACTGCAGCCATTTTGAGAGTCGAGGAGGGTAATCGAACCAGTAAGAATCGCCCCCCAACCACCCTGCCCCCATCGCTCATACGCCTTCAACAAAGTCGGGGTGATGGTATTCTGCGACCCAGCCAGCGACTCGGCGAGTGCTGCCTACCCAACCCCAATCATCGTAAGTATGATACCAACAGCCAGAAGGAAAAGCCTCCAACCTTCGCAAGCCGATTCGGCAGCACCAAGCCACAAGGCAATTTGACAGGCTCACTCAAAACCGCCGACATCGTGCAGAGAAATAATGAACGCCTAGGTTTGCAACACCAACACAAGAAACCCTAGGACAGAAGGAAGGGAGACCGCAAGCGACAAAAACACTACGGAGGCGGCGCAAAAAAAAAGAACCGAACCATAAAATATCGGAACCGAGGCACGGACGGCTGGTGGAGCAACCCGGTCGTTTGGGGTTGGAGCCAAGATTTGGCTGCAGAATGCTTATGCTTATGCTTATCAAGCACACTGAAAATTGACTAAGTTACCTAGGCTATCCTTATCAATCATGCCACGAGGTGTATACCTGAAGAAGGAAGGAAGAACCCTGGAAGATTCTAGGGGGATTGTGGGGATCAGATCAGATCATGGATCCATCCCGAGTACGCCCTTCGGTAGGCAGTGCGGCCAGTAACAGGCCTTAACACGAATAGTCGTATCTATTTTCGCATACATTTCCTAGCTACAGTATCTTATGAGTACCGTTGCTTATCTGGGGTACTCACTGTCAGAGACTCAACGAAGTCTAGTCCAATGCGTTGCAACACAATGGAAATGGTACAGCACAGTACCTGAGTGAACTCAACCCTAAGCCCAGCCAAGAAAGACAAGAACTCAGTAGGTACAGTACAGACATACATCCAACCAACCAAACAAGCAAAACCAACCTACTCTCATCTCCCACAAATCCAACTTATCCACCGATGATCCCACATGCACACCTCACCCACCTCACCTCAGGGCGTGCGTGGAGAATAAGTCTCGGACCACCGGAGAACCACCCACCTCCCACCACCTCCCGGAGCAGACTTAGCCGAAGACTCACCGGGCCATTTCCTCCCGAGCCTCAGTGCCTACCTAGTACATATCCCGCCGGTCACCCGTTTCTCACCCAGTTCCAGACACAACACAACACAACAACGCATCATCTTCCCCTTTCTTTCTTCAAGTCATCAACCCGACGGACCAATGATCCCCTCGGGATTGAGTTCCCGAGGTCCACTCTCCCCCCAAAGTGTCAGACAGGAGCGTGGACCACGCGGGTCCCCACTGACTGACCTAACCCCGGGGTGGTTGCAGGCTTGCAGCTATTAGAGGAAAGTCTATTTAAAGCTGAGTAGGGCTGAAGAGGAAAGGACGAGATCATCTGGTCGGGTCTAGATGAATCTGGATCCTTTGGCCACGAGACTCCGGGGCTGGGGGCAGGCTGGGTTGGTTGAATGAGGTCACAGGTGGATGATGGCTTGCTGCGTGGCTTTCCCCGCATCTCCCCTTCCATCTTCACATGTACAGTGTACTGTCTCTGTCAGCCTGGACCTGGATGATGCTGCGGGGTACAAAGCTGAGGATCTCACCCCCTCACACCATGAGTCAAAAGGTACAGTACCTCCCTCAGGTGAGGGGCTACGATCATCGAGTGTGACTCTACGCTGCATCACATGGACCGGAAAAAGGAAGCCGAGGTTCGAGATACGCCTGTTCTGGAATACTCTTCCGATTTTTGTTTATCGAGAAAAACACGTATGGACAGTCTGGAACATTGTGCAGTCATGAATTTTACCCAACCCGAAAACCCACTCACAGTATCTAAGCTAACCAATCCGAGTCCGAAGTCGGTAAGATCCAACACAAATTCGTCATTAAATGGGGCATGGAAGCGGTGCAAGAAGGGGGTATACAAGAAGAATGCATCCATCCAGTTGGTGGATGAGATGAGAGAAAAAAAAAAAAAAAAAGAATCGCTCCAAAGTCAAGCAACCTCGTCAACCCAGGGATGCAACTGATGAAAAAGACAAACAAGGAAAAGCCATTTACAGCTTAGCATTCTTTTCAGCCTCCTCGCTCAGGCCAGGCAGAGACAAGGCGCTGCCACCCAGGCTGGACAGGATGGCGCCAACTTCGCGCTCCAAGGACAGAACTTCCGTGTGAGCATCGTACATGCGGGCCTTGATCCAGGCATCCAGGGTGGCATCGTCCATGTTGCGCAGGGCAGTCTCGCGGTCGACCTTAGCTTCCTGGGCCGCACGGATGACATTGCGCGCTACAACAACGCTAACCTGGCGGATGCGGGTCAAGTCGGGGTAGAGGAGACCATTGTCAATTTCCTCGGCCGTCAAGGCCTTGGAGAGAGCCTCACCCGAGGCATAGATCATGGTGTCGGTGACCTTGACCGCCTTGGAGAGGATAGTACCCAGACCAATACCAGGGAAAACATACATGTTGTTACCCTGGCCGGGGTAGTAGGTGCGGGTCTCACCGGCGGAGTTGGTGAAGCTCATGGGCTGGAAGGGGGAGCCAGACGCAAAAAGCACACGGCCGTCGGTGTTGGTGATGGCACTCTCGAAGTCACACTCAGACTTGGAGGAGGGGTTAGACAGAGGGAAGACAATGGGGCTCTTGTTCCAGTCGGCCATCTTGCGGAGGATCTCAGGGGTGAAGACACCGCCCATGGTGGAAAGACCCATCAGGATGGTGGGCTTCACGTGGTCAACAACCTGCTCGAGGGTCTTCAGCTGCAGACCGTCGTTGTCGGTGCGAGCAAAGTAGACCTTGTGGTCAGCGAGCTTGTCACCGCGATCAGCAGTCACGAGACCCTTGGTGTCAACCAAGTAGAAGCAGGCGCGGGCCTCATCTTCGGTCATGCCCTCACGGACGAAGAAGTCGACGATCTGCTTGGCAACACCGACACCAGCACTGCCAGCACCGAAGAAGACAGCACGGTGTTCCTTGCAGGGAAGGCCGGAGCGCTTGACAGCGTTGATCACACCGCCAAGGATGACAGCTCCAGTACCCTGGATATCGTCATTGAAGCACGTGTAGACGTCACGGTAACGCTCCAGAGCGGGGAAGGGGTTCTTGAAGTCCTCGAACTGGATGACAATACTGATGGGAATGCATGTTAGCATCGCGCTCTTCCGTTATCAGCCAGGTGGAATGACTTACCCAGGCCAGCGCTCGGTCAGAGCAGTCATCAACTCGTCCATGAACTCACGCTCCTCATCGGGGGTGACCTTGTCACGACGGCTACCCATGTACAACGGATCTTCCCGGAGAGCCTTGTTACTGGTACCCAGGTCCAGAGTCAAGGGGAGAGTAGCCTCGGGACGAATGCCGGCACATGCGGTGTACAGAGCCAATTTACCAATGGGGATACCCATTCCGTTGATGCCAAGGTCGCCGAGACCAAGAATGCGGGAGCCATCGGTAATAACAGTGATCTCGACGTTGGGCTGGGGCCAATTGGCGATGACAGCAGCCAGATTGCCCCGGTCCTCGTAGCTCAGGTACATGCCTGCGGGGTGCATGGTTAGCGCCCGGTTTCACGTCGTGGACAGGGATCCGGGGATTACTCACCTTCCGGCTGTTGGTAGATCTCAGACCATCTTTGGCAAGCTTCTCCAACGACAGGGGTGTAGATGAGGGGAGTCAATTCCTGAATGCATGTGAGTCAACGGGTTGTTTTCGTCCGCAGCGTCGCTTTCCGAACTAACTGACCTTGAGGTGATCCGTGACCAGACGGTAGAACAGGTGGACATTGTTCTTGCGGAGAGTGCTGAGGTAAAGGAATTTGTCGATAACGGTTTGCTTGAGAGCCAATTGAGCCAAGCCTGCGCGCTTGTTAGTGAGGCCGCGCGACCAGAGGCCGAGTGGCACATACAGCGAGTCTTCTGGGTCTCGTATGACTCCGCACGCGGGGGCGTCAAGCCATAGGTGCGGAGATATTTGCGGATGTAGGCCGGGTTGGCGGTGTCAAAATTGGACGACTCGCTAATTGAGGCCATGGTTAGTCCACTGCTCTGCTCTGCTTGTGTGCTCCCGTTCTGCTTCTTCATTGTTGCACGATCGATGATGGAGTTGTCACTGGCAAGATTTTACTTACGCGGGAGCGGGATGGCTGACGAAGGAAGTCGCGTGAACGGGTCGGCTTTGTGCGGGAAAGCGAGCCATGGTGGACGGCTGTGCAGTGGCGAGAGTAGTTTTCAAACGAATACCAACCGGCGAGGTCACAATGCGAGAGGAGGAGGAGGAGGAGGAGGAAGAAGAAGAGGAAGAAAAGGAGATGGAAGAGGATGACAGAATCAGTCGAATTGAGGAAGCGACAGGCCGTCTGGCTTTAAGTCCTTGAGGCACTAAACGCATTGAGCGCCCCTGAGTCAAAATCCACCGCATTCCGAAGTTCAACCACAGCAGGTCAGTCAGCGCGCACGGTAGTTGTGATCTTCTGACGAGGCCGTCGCCAGAACTATGAACCAGGACCAGGGGATATTGTTTTAGGGATGACAGCGATCGGGAAGAATCGGGAGGCGAAGGGCCAGTAAGGGCGACCGGGACCGGTCCGGTGGGGGTCGGGTCACGTTGGGTGCATGGCAGCGAACCGTTTCGATCGGGTGGGAAGATGGGGCCTGGCTCCGGTCGAAAATGGGGATACGAAGCTTTGGAGGAGTGTCGGATGGGAAGAGGATTGGGTAGAGACAGCGTGGAAGTCCGGGTATGGAGAAAGGTTTCAAGCTTGGAACGGGAGCCTTCGCCGAATGCAGTGCAAATGCGGAGTAAATGCAGGCGAATAAACGTGTCCAGATTGGAAAGGAGCAGTTTCGGAGCTGAGACTGCTCAGACGGTCACTGAAAAATGCGGTATTTCTTTTGACACCAGGACAACGACTACGTTGTAGGACCGAGTACGGGAGTCATCGCTATGCACTTCGTATGCACAATGGTGGAGGATTCCGTTGATGGTTGGGAATTGCAGGCTGCAGATTGCAGATTTGCAGGGAGTTGATAGGTGGCAGACTGAAGTATACGATGTACTTGTCAGTCTGTTGAAGCGAAGTTGGTTGTTCGCCAACAACAGACTCCGGACTCCGTGACGGACAGAGTTACAGTACTCGTATGGAATCCTGCTTGAATTTTCCCTTCAACTCTTGAGGGAAATTCTGTGGATGTTCAAGCACAATTGATGTGGATGAAAAGTGAATAGGTGGTGAAGAGGTACAGTAACAGACAGGATTGCAGCCCATACTATGACCATCTCGGTCCAATCCCGATATACCTTTCCCGATCTTTTTTTTTTATCTTTCTACTATGTATTTTCTTGCTTCTCTTTTTTTCTTTTCTCTTTTCTCTTTTCTCTTTTCTTTTCATTTTTTCTTCATTTTCTGATGTCTCCACATCGGGAAAACTAAGCCCAAAGCAGCAATAGACCCAAAAGGGTCCCGAAGTGGATCTCCACCAAACTTCATGTGGCAGAATTTCAGGCTCTCCAAAACTTCAATCCAACCTCCCAAACCACCAACAGTCACCATGACACAAACCAAGCTAAACTGCCTGAGGAAGGATTCTGGACCGGATGCGAATCTTTGGATTCCCCGCAGCAAACGCGGCCCGGGTTTCTCCTCATCAACTCAGGTCTCAGGAAGATTTGCTCTCTTGTTTTTCTCCTCATCTGGCTGCAGGTACCAACAGCTTACACACACACATATACACAATGACCACGACAGCTCGGTAGTCAAACCTCTTCAAAACATCTGTCCCCCTGAACTGCAAACCAAATGTTACCTGGACGGAATTGTCGACTGGCACATCCCAATTCTGCATGCAGGCTCTATAATTGGGCACACGAACAAGGGGAACGCATAAATATCGACGATCAGAATGCGCGAATAAATTTGTGTGTGTTTGCGTGTGTGCTGCCCACCCCCCCCCCCCCCCCCCCCCCCCCCCCCCACCCCCCCGCTCGACTCATACTCGGCCTCACCCCCCATCAAATCATCAAATTCTTCTCCAAATATACTACCCATTACTGAGTAATGACCGAATTCAATGAATAATACTCCAAATTCCACACATGGGCGGTCCAATGGCATGCTCCAGCCGCCGGCTCAGTTGCTTTGCCGCGCCGATCGGTCCCGACCGATGGAAATATCCGATGGAGTTCAGTCAGCAAGAGCTGAGTCAGCCGTCTCCAAAATAGCAAAGGCTCGGGTGAGATGTGGCCATTTTCGGCTCGGATGGCTTGGCCTACACCAGTTAGACTGCCAGACTGTTCCTCCTTTCACACTATAATCCCACTAGAATCGCACTACAATTAATCTTAACGCCCTTGAACCGTGCTGCTTCCGATGCAATTCGAGAGGGCTTGGGCAGGCAGTCACAAACCGTCCAGGTCGAGCCTCGTTCTTATTATAAATCTGAGGAGATTGCGTCTTGGGCGACGATAAAGATTCGGGTTGTGCGACGGTCCATCGACTCCATCGACTCCATCCGAAGTTCAAAACAGTCTCTCGCGGCATTGGTTCTCGTCACCGCCTACCCTGCTCGAGCTATTGGCGGTTTAGCCGATGGAGACGCCTGCAGATCCAAAACCCTGGTCTCTCTTTTGATGGGAAGCTCAGTGTAGGGCGAAGTTATTGTTTCATGCTGTGGATTGGTTTTCATCAGGAGCTAGTGGGCAACGGGTTACTCCGTCGACCTTTCCCTTCCCTTCAATCCCAACGCTCGGGTTGAAAATCACCTGTCCCCTCGCTTTCAAGGTTCAAACTTCAGGCTGAATGTGTAGGCGAGATGGACCAAGCACATCCCTAGGTTCTCTCCACGCCATGTTGCAGGGACGAGTAGTTATCCCTACCGCGACCGGGTTTACCCACTTGAGCAGGTCGCGTCTCCCCTTCCTTCGCCCCTTTGCTCCCCGGATTCAAGATGCATGGGTCACAAAGCTTGACCACTGCTGATCATTGTTTGTTCGCCCTGTATTGGATCTCTCATGGGGCAAATCCCTTTCATGCGGTGTCAATATATACCTCATATGAGAGGTCTTCAGGAGCCTGGTACCTAGCTCAGCAAGATTCGACCTGCATCATGATCCCGGACTGCTAACCTGTCCACCATCACTCGCTCTTCGGCTTGTTGTGGAACCAGCCAGGGAATCTGCAAGCATGCGGCAATCGTAGGGCAACCAGCTGCTCGTCCACTCTCCCTCCCCTCCCCAGCGAAAATAAATCGCTCATTGCGTTGTTGTTATTGTTTTTGGTCGGTCTCCGGTATGCGGGACGCGATGACGGATGTTTACAACTTGGTGGTGGCTGTCACCGTGAACCCTGTATGCGCGGTGCTTCGTACAGTACACCTGACGATCTGCCTTGCAGCGCTGCACGGACAAAACCCCGTCATTCCATGGTTTTCCTGCTGTTTTCTTTGCTCGGGTGGCTCTCTCGTACCGTGTAAACTTCTGTGACAGAGAGGGATTTATTTCCTGGCTTGCGGACAAACGACGGCAGGGATTTGCTTGCTTGTTTACGTGATCTTCGTCGTGTTGTCTCGAGTTCCGTCTGTGTTTATACTTTAGGCAAACGGGAACGAACTCGCAGTCGTGTTCATAGGTGACTGTCTCGGACGGGGATGGGAGCTCGACCACAACCAAGCACGATGGCCGTTGCAGGGCATATCTCTGGACTCAGTCAGTTGACTGCTGAGATGAACGAAGCGTGCCATGTTACTGACCTTTAGGACCGTCCATAACCATGGGAATTGACTCTTCCGATCATGGATTCTCGATGAACCACCCCAGAAACCGCCTTATCGATAGGAGCGATACGATAAGATACCGGCTGACAGGTCACGTGGGGCTACTGATAAAGCGGCGAGGAAAGGGAGCGAGCGGTGACGCAAGAGTGATTGGACCACCAGCCAGCCCGTGATCGATGATGATTCCATGCAACAGGAATCGGCCAACCCTGGAGCTGCCATCGCTTCCCCTCTTTTCCTACAATTCCCTCCGTTTCGTCATCCCTTGAGTCAGGGACTTTGCGGTGGTATTTGCTGCTCCATCAACTTCTATCTCTCCATCTGTCTATCCCTCTCTACAAGTAAGTAGATCTACTCTTCGTGTTTGCTGAAGCCATCGCAACCATGCCGCAAGGGGAGACCGAGCCCCTCCTCCCTCGCTATGAGGAGGACACCACCCTCCAGCGTCGCCTGCATCAGAAACTACACACCTACCAGATGATCCGGGCTCTCTCGGACGGTTACATGCCTTCTACGGAACAGGTGATTGTCAATCTCCGCACCCTGCTGGCTTCAGATGTGCTCTCCACCCAGACCCATGATGTGGGCTCCGTGGGTCGTCAGATCATCCGCGATTGTCGCCTGTGGATTCAGGTCTTCATCGAATTCCTGAAGGAGAAGAATGAGGATGACAAGCTGCAGGAGTTTCTGTGGCATCTGGCTCGATCGCGCGCCTCGATTGACCCTAACAAGATCCAGCAGCAGGCTCGCCAGAGTAGGGTGAGGGCCGATACCAAAGCCGGTCAGTACACATCCCACTTCTTTTCTACGCCATAGACGGTTTTCGTGGAGTTAAGGTTGTCGCTAACCCTGCGGATGCAGCATACGACAGTCTACGTACAGTGGGAAGCCTCCTGCTGACCAACTCCGACTTCCGCCTCTTCGTGGATGATTTGACGACTGTTGGCCGGCAGATCTTCTCCGACACGGCCTTTTCCTTGTCCAGCACATCTCAGCAGATTGGCGAGCAGCTGAAGCCGTCCGAGGAGGAGGCCCAAGCGGTGCAGGGTGCAGGTGCAGATGAAGGCCATACGCCCACGGGTGAGGACCTGCGACACGAAGCGACTGAGGTGGCCGAGATTGCCGGGAATGGTCTGGCTCGCACCGGCAAAGATGCAGTCAGCAGTGCAAAGGAGCACCTCGCTGGCCGTGAGAAAGAGGCTCTGCTGTACCGACTGAAGCGGACCGTCCTCAAGCTCAAGGATCGTACGGACTACTCGGACTCGATTTCAACCTTGGGCCAGCTGGTTCGTCGGTATGCTCAAGCCTACGTGAACGCCGCGTCGGATGTCGTCACAGCGGCGGAAGAAGATGTCGACGTCAATGCGGACCTCAAGCAGGCGATGCAGCACTTTTGGATCTTGTTGGAATCGTTCGGTGATGCCGAGGAATGGAAGGCTCTGGAGGAGCGCTTCAAGACGGTGTTGCAGCATGCCAACTCCGATCCTGAGTTTGAAAAGTTCCTCTCGGAAACCGGCTCCGTCGTCCAGGAGATGATGACTGATCCCAACTTCTTTGACAATGCGGAAGAGAAATTCGATGAGCTTAAGGAAAAGTCTAAGGAGGTCAAAACCGAATCACGGTTCAGGCAGGACGTCGATGCTTTTCTGATCCAGGCCAAGCGAGCTCTGCGGACGGTGCCCAGCGACAAAGCCGTGGCCAATCTGACCAATGCAACCCAAAAGCTGTATAAGGATATCTATGAGGCCTATCACCGCCGCGAGAGCCAGCTGCCGGCAGACTTGCTCGAATGTTTCCTGCCACTAGTTCTTCGTACGGTGCAATTCATCCCGATCCCTCGCCTGGAGATCTCCGCGCCCGAGGTTGATCTGCTGCTGGAGAGCTTGATCCTTGAGCCGGGCCATACGGTCAACTACTCGTCCTTTCTTCCCTATCGGATGCACGTGACCACGCGCAACGATATCGACATTGTGAAGAAGCATTCCAAGCGGACCGCCACGGACATCAAAACCACCTTCACGGCGACCATCAACGGATTGAACATCAGTGCGTCTGAATTCGGGTACTGGATCCGGACCCATTCCGGGCCCTTCCTGCGGTTCAACGATGAGGGTGTCGCCAGCTTCTTTCTAGACCGGCGCGGGGTCGACATCTCACTCGACATCGAAGTCGGCCGAGACAGGCTGGAGCAGATCTTCACCCTACGCGGGGTCCGCGTTCGGATCCACAAGCTCGACTACAAGGTGCATCGCAGCCGGTGGAAGTGGCTGCTCTGGCTGACCAAGCCCTTCCTCAAGCATCTCGTGCGTCGCGTGCTGGAGAAGAAAATCGCGGAGAAGATCGTGCAGGCGGCGTTTGCCTTGAACCGGGAGCTGGTCTTCGCCCGCGAACGGCTGCGGGCGGCCCGGATCGCCAACCCCCAGGACCTAGCCAGCTTCGTGCGAGCGGTGCTAGCTCGCTTGAAGGCGCTGCCGGAGACCGACGTCGAGGCCCGGATCGGACTGGAGCCGCCGGGTGAGGGCGTGTTCCGGGGTGTGTATGCCCCCGGCAGTCTGGTCAAGGTCTGGAACCAGCAGGCGCTACGGGCGGAGGAGGCCATCGAGGAGGGCGATGAGTATCGCACTCTGGCGGGAACCTGGAGAAACGAGATATTCGACGTGCCCGTTCGTCGGGCTTAGGTTTTTGGGGCTGGGTAATGCCTTGTAATTGATGGGATATGAAATTGGTTTGGGGGAGAATGCCATAATGTATAGCGAAGGTCTGTTAGGCGTTGCGGTTAGTTCCTAGCGATGAGGTTTGCATTTGATCGTTGCGTTAATGAATTGAATTGAATGAACGGTCTCCATGGAGTATTCCGCAGGCTACTCCTAAACAGTATAGTCCACGTGACGCGGTTGTCGGACGAACACTTCGGCCGGGGCCCGTTGCGGCCACCTAATCAGTAGAGAAGAAGCACTGATAACAACTTAACCACTCACTCAATCCCTCCCTTTTGTGCCTCGCTGCTTGAGATCTTGACTGATCTTGAGGGACTGGTCAATTGTCCTCGTGGCATCTGTCTTGAAATTCTACTCCCCTTCTTTTGTCATTTTTTGTCATCTACGCTCGCAACTTGCCTTGCGAGGTCGTTATTACCGTCAGTTATACTCCGCCGTTGCAGCTGTACTGTAACTAGCTATCGCGAACCCGCGAGCAGCCCAACAGACCACATACTCACATACATACTCACACACGCACCCACACCACTCAGTACAGTACCACAAGCGACGCCCAACAAACCACATGCGCTGCCCCTTGACAGCCCACATCCCTTTCTGAAAACATCATCATCCACCATGCTCCTCCCCACAATGCGAACCCTCTTCGTCCTCGTGGCCCTCACCCTGTGTCTGGTGCAACTCGTCCTCGCGGCCGACGACTACTACAAGACGCTGGGGCTGGACAAATCCGCCTCGGAGAAGGACATCAAGCGCGCCTACCGGACGCTCAGCAAGAAGTTCCATCCGGATAAGAACCCGTGAGTTTGCCCACACCTCCGCCCACACCTCCGCCCCCCAAACCCTCCACCACCTCCTCCTCCACCACCACCATAACCACAACCACAGACACTAACCACTGCTCCCCCCCCCAAAAAAAGAGGTGACGACACGGCCCGCGAGAAATTCGTGCTCATCGCCGAAGCCTACGACATCCTCTCGACGCCGACCACGCGCAAGATCTACGACCAATACGGCCACGAGGGCATCGAGCAGCACCGCCAAGGCGGGACGGCCGGGGGCCGCCGCGGGGGCAACGACCCATTCGACCTGTTCTCGCGGTTCTTCGGGGGCGGGGGCCACTTCGGACACGCGCCGGGCCACCGGCGGGGCCCGGACATGGAGCTGAAGGTGGGGCTGCCGCTGCGCGATTTCTACAACGGGCGGGAGGTGTCGTTCGGGGTGGAGAAGCAGCAGATCTGCGACGCGTGCGAGGGGACGGGGTCGGCGGACCGGGAGGTGGTGACGTGCGACAAGTGCGCGGGCCGCGGGGTGGTGATCCAGAAGCATCAGCTGGCGCCGGGGATGTTCCAGCAGGTGCAGATGCACTGCGACAAGTGTGGCGGCCAGGGCAAGATGGTCAAGCGGCCGTGTCCGGTGTGTCAGGGCCAGCGGGTGGTGCGGAAGGAGGTGGAGACGTTTGCGACGATCGAGCCGGGCATGGGCAAGGGGACGCGGATCGTCTTTGAGAATGAGGCCGACGAGAGTCCCGATTGGATTGCTGGCGATCTGGTGCTGATTCTGGAGGAGCGCGAGCCCGAGTTGGTGGCTGAAGGAGGCACCGATGGCACGTTCTTCCGCCGCAAGGGCAGGGATCTGTTCTGGAAGGAGGCGCTGTCGCTGCGCGAGGCCTGGATGGGCGACTGGTCCCGCAATATCACCCATTTGGACGGCCATGTCGTGCAGGTCGGGCGCACGCGCGGCCAGGTCGTCCAGCCCCTGGCGGTCGAGACCGTCAAGGGCGAGGGCATGCCCTTCTATTCCGAGGGCCATTTGCACGAGTCCGACGAGGAAGAAGCCCCCGGCGATCTGTATATCGAGTACACCGTCATCCTGCCGGATGAGATGGAGAGCGGCATGGAAAAGGAGTTCTTTGCCCTGTGGGAGAAGTGGCGCAAGAAGAACGGCGTCGTGCTCGATCAGGACAGCGGTCGTCCGGTGTCGCAGCCTCGGGTCGTGAAGGATGAGTTATAGTATATCTTGGTCAAAATGATGTGTGCAAAAGCTGCTCGCATGGATGAAGTTGCATATGCTCTACTTTTTCTTTCTTCATTCGGCCGTGCGCTAGATAGACAATCCAATAGAAATACCTCGAGACACACAACAGTCTTTCGTATAGTCAAGGTGCAGGTTGCCACTTCAAACTACAAGGCTACTACGGGCATGCTATATTTACAGCACCAAATCTCCCGCCCCGAGACCTCGACACCTTCAAGCAAAAGATCACACATCTGGCCCCGTCATCACCCCAAAGAGCGGATCAACCGGCGCGAACGGCGCGAACTCTCCGCTACTCCACAAATCCCCGGACAGCCCCTCCAGCGTCTCGAAATCCGGCATCCAGAATGGGCTATCCTCCTCCAGGTCGATCCAGGGGGCGAGCTGCAACGCCATGCGCACGCCGTGGTCCTGGCTAGTCGGGTCGACGGAGACCGCGAGATTGGCGGCCGGCGGCTGCTGTTGTTGTTGTTGCTGCTGCTGCTGCTGCTGCTGCGCCGCCGCCGCCGCCGCCGATGTCCCTCCTTCCGTGGGTCGCGAGGTGCTGGGGTGATTGTCGCGGAACATGCCGGCGTTGATGGCGCCGCCGCCGCCGATGTGCTGGGCCGTCATCAGCTCGGCCATGCCGACCTTCTTGGAGGCGTCGGTGCCTTCGAGCTTCTCCATGGCGGCGTTGACGAGCAGCTCGAAGGCGTCGCGGTATTTCTTCACCCATTTGGCGCGCTCGCCCATGACGAAGAGCACGGTGGAGCAGGCGCGGATGTCGTTGCTGAGCTGCACGGACCAGACGTCGCTGGTGTGGGTCCAGAGGGCGTAGAGCAGCGTGATGCCGGCCATGAAGACGGTTTGCACGGCCAGGAAGGAGTGGCCGTACTCCAGCGTCTGGTGCAGGCGCTTGTGCGTCTGGCAGGTGTTTCCCGCGGCTCGCAGGCAGATGTGGTAGTAGGGGTCGGTGAGGGGCAGCGAGGGCAGGAACGGCTGGATCAGCAGCCGGAGAGCCCGGTGGTAGTGGAGCATCGGGTAGTCGAGGTCGGATCCACTGAAACGGCGCGTCGCGGACTGCTTCCACTCCTCCAGTTCCAGATATAGACGGTCCATCTTGGAGCGCAGGGTATGCAGCGGGCGATCGGCCCGGTAGATCTTATGTTGGATTCGGGAGTCAATCCGACGGAGTTTCATGAGGTAGATTGCGAATGTTAGGCTTGTGATCCGGTCCATCGGCAGAGATGCAGTCAGCACAGCCGGATCGTGCACGTCGTCGTCGACGTCGAGTGGTAACGGCAGGTCGATGTGTCGGTCTGCAATACTGAAAGGTCGGCCTAGTGACATCGACACTACACGCTCGAGGTAGTAGACTGTCCAAAACAGACGACGTCGCATCTGTGCGGTGAACGGATCCAGGTTGTTTTCATTTGCCTTTCGGTGCAAACCCAGGTCGATGGCGGTCCGCATCGCAAGCCCGACCATGTACCACATGCCCTGACTGGACGCAGATCGAAGATGGTATACCACCATCAGCGTCATGGCTTCGATGTTCTCCACCGATCGTGGCTCACACATTCTGGGGACCGTCTGCAGTGCGGTTGTGTAGAATTGCTATCAAGGATATTAGATTAGTTCATCAGAGCTCAGCAGGGCCAACTCACCTCGGGAAGAATTGTAGCCAGATTCTCACTCAACTGTATAGTCGTCGCTCCAATTGCATATACGAGATACAGCTTGAAGATACCAAATCGCTCCGCCCTGGTAAGTTCTTCGCGTGGAGTCCTGGCCAACCGCCAGCGGTCTTCGTGCAAGCGCCATAACTCAGTCCGATCAAGAAAGGGATACCGCACGTGTAGTCTCGTCAGATAGGCGCGCAGGATCCGCGACCCCAGTTCATCGTTCGGGGGGTCCGTGGTCTTCGACAGCAACTCCTCCATACGCAGCGGTCGCGCCCGCTCTTCGGAGCTCTTGTCTCCCGTAGACGGTTGTGGCGGGAGTCCGGTGAGATTGTGACCTGGTAGCTGCCCAGCGCGTGTCCCGGTCGGGTTCCGCGACGACGAGAGAGCTTGGTTCCAGACGGTGGCTTGAACCATCTCTCCGAGGTCTGCGGCCAGAGACAGCCCGGAGCTGGATCCCACATACGCCGGAGCTTCCGACGAGTTGAGGGCGAGAAAGCCCACGATCTCCCCGACGGCATTCCGGTCGAGTTCGGTGGTCGATCCAGCCGGTGTCGGGGGATTCTGAGGAGAGAGGAGTGCCGCGACAGGATGAGCAACGTGGCTGCTGGCCCGGCTGTCCTTGGGTCTTGAATCCAATTGCGACTCCAAGTAGTGTATTCGGCTCTCCAGAGCCCGTGTGTAGCTGTAAATTATCAGCAGATACGCATCGGAGCATGGATATCCGGTCTATACTCATTCTGGGATCCGTTATCATTCCGCACGGAAGCTTTGTCGCAATTCGCTCCAGCTTTGTGGCAATTGGAGCATGTGGGATAGTTATTGTCGCACTGTGGGGTATGGTCAGTGTGGCCCTTCTTGATAAGAGCTGACCAGTATCATACTGCATGCAGTGACTGACTTTCTGTTTCCTCGTCTTACAGCGAGTGCAAGCAGTCCTCCCCCGCTTCCGAGGATTGTAATCCCGAGAGGGAGAAGACGCTCTTGTGTGGGGGGAGACTCCCTCAGTCTCCATACCACTCATTGTGTCATTGTTGCCACCACCAGCACCATGTACTGTATACTTTGCTGACGTCGTACGTACTCGTTGTTGCACGCAGCAGGGCAGGTGTCGGAGGGATGGAGTGGTAAGTTAGCCGGAGAAGTGGGGAAGATAGAAAGAATGGCGTCGGCCCTCCGAATTCTGCCAAGACGCCGCGCTTCTTCCCGCCGCTAAGCATTGGTGATGGTACTATTGCTCTTCATTTCTTCATGCTATGCTAACAAATGCGATGCCCCCTTCCCTTCATTCTATAGTCCTTGTTCCTTCTTTTCGTCATTACTAGGACGTCTACTAGACTGGTCGTCCTCAATTGACTCAGATGCGTGCGGTGCCTGAGCCTCCACATCCTCGCCACCAGCAACCCGTTGCTCTTCCTGCTCTCGAGCTTCCTCCTGTCTCCGCTTTTCCTCTTCTTGTCTCTTCTCCTCTTCTATCTCATGTGGATCCTTCGGTCGCTCCAAGCCTCGATCCCGAAGGAACAGGCACGCCAGAAGGCACGTTCCGATCAGTGGGACCTGCAAGATGAACACGGAGTGGGATGCCTTCACGTAAGCTGCGAGAATCTGCTCCCAATCGGAATCGGAGATACCGTTCCGGGACGGAAGGGTGTACGATGAATCCGCAACGTCCTTATACCCGGCTGGGAGGTTGGATCGTAGAGTGGCCTGGAGTAGGGCTGCGGAGACGGCCAAGCCACAGGCACCTCCTATACAACGGAAGAAATTCCGGTCTGAGATCACTACTGCTCGTTGTGATTTGGTAGCATGGGCTTGGAAAGCGATCATGGTCGGCTGGAAGGTCCAGCCGACGCCAATGCCAGCAATGCCGACAATGACAGCAATAGCACCTGGGCTAGTATGCTGATCAAATAGTAGCATCAAACCAGCTCCTCTGGATCCGGGTCAGAATGCAAACTCAGGTCGGCAAGGAAGGGAACAGACTAGTCACTTACAATGTCCACATGAAAAAGCCAGCCCAGATCACCTCTCCATAACGCTTCATGCGTGAGATGTACTGTCCGGAGGTGATTGATGCAAGTGACTGGCAAGCTACCATGGGTGCAGTCAACGCAGCAGACACGATTGGAGACCATCCGCGAGCGTTTTGGTAATACAAAGGCAAGTAGTATAGGTACGACTGATAGACAGCACCAAGAAGAAAACTCTGCAAAAACAGGGCACAGAGCACCTTGTTCTTGAAGAAAACCACTGCAGTCGTTAGTATCCTATACCTGTATGATGGCTACCCGGACATACCTGGAAGCATGGGCAGCACCGCCACTTTCCATTCGATCACGATAAAGGCAAGGATGGCGCAGCCTCCAATAGTGAGCATGCTGATAACCATAGGCGAGTCCCAATTGAAATAGGACCCACCCCCGGAAATGGGGATCAACAAGAAAATGATCCCGATTGACGAGGCGAGAACGCCCCAGAAGTCAATCTTGCGGACATTCTTCCGGAAACTATCCTTTCGGGAATTGTTAGGAATGAGAATATATCCGACGATGATGCAACAGGCCGCTAGTGGAGATAAGAGCCAGAAGAATCCTCGCCAGGTCGAGTCCATGACAAAAGCTGCAGCGACGAACGGGCCAATGACGTTTCCAAGGCCCAAAGCGGCTCCCAGAATGCCCTGATACTTGCCTCGCTCCCTGAGGGTGACGATATCCGAGACGATGATCATAGTCAGCGACGTGACGCCGCCACCTGCAACGCCAGCCAACCCTCGAAAAACGTAGAACATGGGGGCGTTTTGGGAAAGTCCGCAAAGCAAGTCGGCGATACAGAGAAGTGCTAATGCACAGAGATAGACAATCTTTCGACCGAAGATATCAGAAAGTCGACCGTACAGCACTGTGAACATTGTATTCGCAATCAAGGACGAAGTTCCTGCCCAGGAGATCGTATCCTGGGCATTGAGGTCGCGGGCTATCGTAGGAAGCGTGACGCTGATACCATTTTGATCAACAAAAGTGATGAGCAGAGAGACTGCCAGGCCGGAGAAGACAACCAGCAGTTGTCCAATGGGGAGGATATTGGTCTGGTCGTGTAAAGCCTTCTCGGCCGCCTGTTGCCGATTCATCTTTTCTTCTTCTCTTAGAATGATAACGGTCTGAACAGCAAGATGGCCTCGGACATTATTTTTAGAAGAGCTCGAGAATGGTCCAGATGGGGCTGGAGACGGTCTCAGTTGGCCCGAGGAGCCAGGTTCGTGTCACGAATGACGAATGTCGTATCAAAGATTTAGAGCTTGTCCCCGTCGTGAGTGCAGGTCAGGTCCAGTGCATACACACAGCCAAACTGCTATATATGGGGAGATAGGTTGAAGCGGAGTTAGAATATCGTCATGCGACCCCTGTCTGTCTGGTTCATGGGCCAATTTAGTAAGAAGAAATGCTGGAAGAGACGACCAGATCATCCTCCCTGCGAGTCTTTATCAGTCCAGCTCCGCAGGGCAGCGGACGGACCGCCGACGGTTCTAAGCAATTCGGACATAATGGCAATGGCCGTTTTGCCCATTGTCACAGCCATTATCGGTTATGAGCTGTTTCAAACCTAACCGAGCCAGGGAATCCGGACCGATTCCGCGCTGTCGTTGCCCAGTCAGTTAACATTTTTTTCAGTGGGAAAGTGGATCTGTGTGGCGGAAAGTTGGGTTGACCGGCGCTTCGGATGTCCGATGATGCTTGTCGGAGGCTTACCGACCTATGCGGTACTTGCAAGTCCTGCCGGGTGAGATCTTATCGCAACTGACGGAAATTAGAATATTGATCTCTTGGCTTTTGTGCCCAAACGTCTGTGCGGAGACTGGGCTTCTCATGAAACCTGTTCGCAATAGATGTCTACAGCGCACAGCATTGCTCTGCTAGCTGCAACTGCCTTGTAAAGATCTTCATCCTGGTCTCTTCATTAAAGTCGTCGTTGGCAACCAATCAGTTCGATTTTTAAGCAGACCGGCGGATCAATTTAATCAAGGATCGAGTCGCGAGATCTGCTAGGGCTTGAGTCGCAGACCTACCCAGATGAGATTTTGTTAGAGCCTAGCGATTGACATGGGGTGTGCATGAGATACCCTCTCGCATGACAATCCCCTAGGTATATCCTTGTTGGGAAATCGGTCTCGATACAGCGGTCCAGAATGCAGCTTCTATTATCCCAGCTCAATGCGGTGGAACTTACTTTATGGACTCATTCCTTGTGGAACCCCATGGACTTTGATGTGCCAAAGATACGCTCAATGTCAAATCTGGGTAACCGTGGGCAGGTGCTGACGCGTTTATGGGCAAATCGATGTGCTGTGTAACATGCTTCATACATGAATTTCCAGTCTCAAAGCGCGACTAACATTTGTTACAGCTTGGGGTGTCGCCTCCAGCTTTACACGAACCTAAGAGTGTGGATGTGCAAGTGTAAGATCCAGGGTACCTGCCGTCCAAGATGGCTGTACGCCACGTGTACCTGTCGCGCTGGTTCCTTCGTAGCCCGTGGGTCCTCCAGCACGGCTGTTACTGTCGTGTCCCTGGACCGACTGTCCCGAAGGACCGCCGCCGGTGGTAGTAGTACTCTGGTTGGTTCCGTGATGCTGAGGAAGAAAGCTTCCGTCCATGACATTCCCGTGGTTAGGGAAAAAGCTCTGGTTCAATGCGCCACATGTGGTGCAAGTAAATTCTATCTTAAAGTTTGTTAGGATAGCCTGCGGTGTTGAAGGATGGCCGTTACTCGAAGGCTGAGTCTGCATTTTGGACTGTCCGAGCTCTGGAACAGACGGTTGGCCTGGGCTGGATACACCATAGTCAGTTCGGTGATGAATGCCGTGGCTGAGACTGGTTTGATCCTGAGGTTGAGCCTCGGGTGGTTGGTGTATTTGGCGTAGGTGCGGCACTTGATGGGTAGGGTGGATCTGAAGGGTTGGCTGTACGGGTTGACTGTGAAGATGGGAGATCGAGAGTGAATTGCGTTGGGCGTCGCCCTGTTGCATGCTATCAATGAGAGCCGAATGGATGTTGTCCTGAATCCAGCGTTGGCTGGAAAGACCGCCGAAGGCCGAGTTACTCGCCTGCGCCTCCATCTGAGACGGCGGACTATCCTGTTGCTCTTCACCACTGGAGTCATGAGTATTGGTCTCTTCGCCCTGGTTCTGGACTTCTCTCTGCTGTAGCCGAATAAGCGCACGTTGCGCTTGTCGCATGGATATGTCGTATCCGTGATATCGCTTGATGGCATCGACCACATCTTGGGCCTTGATTTTATGGCTCATATCAAAAAGCTTGGGGATCTCCGAAAGGAGGAACCGGACATGCGAAGCCTCCGAGCGAGCCGGTGTTCTTGATGTGGGGGTCGCATTGCGTCGACAGTTATGACTGTCTTGGAGACTGCTAATATAGGTCGCATTTTTGTTTGCACGACAGACAACCCGAAAGAAACAATTGTTTGATGAGCGACATCCTATTACCACGCTCTTCTTGTTGCTTCTTGTGACGCGGAGCTCCCAATGTTGCCTCACGGAGATGGTCCGTACCAGTGCCTTGAACTCTTCTAGCGAGCCGAACCGCTGGCCCACGTGGAGCCCCGAGTACATCTCCGCCATCACGATGGCGCGGGTACGAGAAAGAGTGCAATGAAGATTTATGTTGTTCCGATGTCTGGTTTGAAAAGTCCATCAGTAAGACTTGGATTGCCTCAGGCTCTTTAGCACAATAGTAATAGTGTGTAATCTGGCGCTAGTCGATTCGGCATCATTCGCGCGTACTGCGGCAGTTTGTCCCCCAGCTTTTTTTTTCCTATCGAAGGGCCGGAGGTATGTTTAATTTAAATAAAGCAATAGATTTTATTTGGGAGAGAGTTTAAAGAGACCATGCACAGGCAGCAGGCTGGGTAGAGAGATTATCAGGAGCCCTCGACGGGCCTGTAATCAAAAGCAAGTAGAAGAGTCAAAATCATGGGGAGCATCGGGAGCATCGGGAGCATCGGGAGTGTTCAAAACAACCAGGGGATTGGAAAAATAATACTAGTTGATTGTTTCAATTGCAGTAGTAATCCGTCGTCCGCCGCCGTCTGTCAGTACCTTCCAGTTAGGTGAAGAGGTGGAGGTGACAACGCAATACCACATCGGGTTTAGCTTGCTGCTTCGGTCTTGGCGTTAAGGTACCTGAAGTTAATGAGAACAATCCATCATAATTTAAGTACTGGATTATAGAACCATCTCTCTTCCCCAGCTTGAAGTTAACAGCCTTTTTGTCAGCATAGGCCGTTAGAATTGGTTATTCATACATTCTCTCCAGCTATGCACGCCTTTGTGTAAGCGATCTGACTACATTGTTTGCTCTAGCACCCAACTAACATGCTTTGACTACAAGTAGCCGATCTACGTAGGTCGGATCGATACCAACCCCGTACGCTTGAGGACCCACAGGCGCTGTGCCTTGCCTTTCGCTATCAATATCATTCCGGGTATTCTGAAATTCATGATATGCAAATCATCATCGCAGGCTTCAGGAGGGAGGCTCGGGAAATGAGGCATTCGAATTGGATCATAGTTGGTACATGCATGATACTGCCTGTCCTGGCGTGAATGGTACCGATACCTGAGCGATTCCTAGGTGTGGGCAGCAATTATATGAAACTGGATTCACAGGCTTCAATATCAAGCGGCACAGTGTTTTGGAGACCTCTGGGGACAGCTTACCTGGAAGAAGGCAGTGACTGGGCGACGCACCTAGGTTTGACACCAATGCACTGGCCACTACGATATTGGATCGCAGAAACTCGGGTGGCATGATATTGTGCCCGAGTCTCAACTCAGTCCCATGTTCATCGGCGGGAATCCTCTTGCGCAGCACCCGAGATAGGTCAGACGAGCATAAGCGTGCCTGCTAAACCTCGAACGTGTATGAGGAAAGTCGTTTCTGGTCGCCGCTACGCTGTTAGCCATAGATTCAGCTATCCTTCGAGCTCGAAACTGGGCTCCTCCTCGTGACTCAGCACGCCAAAGGGCTGGACATAGCGAGAACCTACGCACAGAAGTTCGAGCGATGCATCCATCACGAGAGGCCGGCCTTGAATTCCTCGAGATGAACGAGTCAATGAACCCTCGGCTCACAATTGTACCGCACAGCCCGTAGTATACTTGACAACTACTCCTGTGCTCGGGGAGCAACTGCAGAGTCGCTCAAGACCTCTGTAACTGCTCTCCTGTAGCACTTACAGGATCACGCGTGACCCTAATGAACAGTAACATGTGGAGCTTGGCCTCTGAACATGCATTTGAAAGTACTGTACGCTTGAAACCGCAATAGGCCGTGAAGATTTAAGCTCAATAAAGTGGAGCTTAGCGCCATGGCCATCCGTTCCGACAGCGTCCGAGCTGTCCTTTCCAGGCAAGGCAACTACAGTACATGCGTACTACTTGGTTCTGTCGAGCATCACATTAGTTCTTGCTATTCTTATTCGGGATGCGCTGCTGCATACTAAAGATGGCCAGGTACGGACTTACCTCCCATCCTCTGCAAAGACCATGATGCCCATCAGAGAGCACTTCTGACAACAGCTCGGAAGTATTCAATTTTGAGTCCAACGAATAGATCGAGCCAGCTCTAATTTCAAAGGATGATGAATCTGAGTCAAGAAGATCGCAGATCTATCTGAGGTTGCGTGCGTAGCATTAAAACCAATGAAGTATGCGGAAAGCCAAAAGGCCGGCCGGGTGGAAAGAGGGAAAGTTGGTTTTCCGCGCCAAGCGGATCCCGCCGACCGCTTCTCACTCACTCACTTGATGCCGCCGCATCGGCTTTTTCCCCGACACCTTCACGAACGGCTCAACAATACTGGGCTGAGGCCACTTTACTTTTGCTGCTTCATACACAATGGCATCCTATACATCTTATGGACTACTCGATCAGTTGGAAGAAGGTAAATCAGATCGATTCCCTCCCCCTCTCACCCTCCAAAACCCACCACTCTCATCTTCATCCACTGACACTCCCGCTAATTCATGCAGACGGACTCCACAAGTCGCGCCTTCTCAACGTCGAAGAAAAGCCCTTCAAGCGGATCTCGAAGCGTCTCCTGAACAACGACTCGGTCCTCGTCTCGAACACAACCCTCCCCCCGACGCCTCCGCCGGATGGAATGGACGACGAAGCTGCGGACGCTGCGGCAGCCGCAGCGGCGGCCGAGAAGCAAAAACGGCACGAGCACTGGAGCCAGTTCCGCGACGACGTCGCCTTGGATTTTGCCGCCTTCGAGATCAGCATCGCGCGCATCCAGTTCCTCCTCACGAGTAACGAGAAGGAACGCGAGCGGTACGCGACCGAGAAGCTGGGGATCCTGGACACCATGCAGTCCGTCCGCGACAACACCTCCGAGCTGCGGGTTCAGCTGGAGGAGGCGCAGCGGCTGCTGGCGCTGCGGAAAAGCTACGACGAGTTGGCGGACAGGATCACGAGCAATCGCCTCCTCAAACCGCGCGAAGACCAACAGGCCAACCTGCAGAAGCTGCAGGCCGAGATCACCGATCTGGAGAAGGAAAGCAAGGAATACGCGCAGACGTGGGCGGAGCGCCGGGAGCAGTTCGGGCGCATCGTCGAGGAAGGCATGCAGCTGCGTCGCTTGATTCGCGACGAGAAGGAGGAAGTGGAGCGCCGGGAGGGGATGCAGGAAGGCGAGGACGGCGATGACGGCGACGTACCGTCCAAGGGCAAATCGAGCGGGGCTAATACGCCTCGTCACGACTCGGAGAGCCTGGCTTCATCGCATCAGAGCCCGGAGGAGCTTGGTCGTCTGTCGGCTGGGTTGCAAGTGGATAGATTCGGCACGACCGGTGCGGCGTCACCCTTGCGGCAAGTGACGGTCCCAGGTGACGAAGAGAAACGCTCGCCTGATCTGGACACCACGATGGAGGACGAAGGCGAGGTACAAGAAGAACTGGAAGAGGGGGAAGAGCAGGACGATCGGACAGATAGAATGGATACTACTTGATTATCGGAAGCCCTTATGAGCCACCATTAAGCGCGGAGTTATTTGGCGGCGTTTGGATTCATGGTGCCTGTTATTTACAACAATTTTGCTTTCTTTTCCCATGTTGTACTTTTACAATAATTGCCGAGTCGGCTTTGATGCATAGACAGAACCAGTGACAGTGGATTTACGAAATCTCTCGCTCCGCTGTTCTGGCCTGGGAGATAGCCTCCTTTGCAGCATTGATCTGCTCGACATTGCTTTCGGCGCCCTTCTTGCCCTCCTCAATCTGCCAAAGGCTAGTTAGTCTTGTAGAATCAATCGAAAGATTAGCGAGCGGCATACCAGCAACTGATCAAGCTTAGCGATCGCATCCACAATCTTCTGCTTCAGGGTCGGAAGGACCTTCCTGGTCTCCTCGAGGGCCAGGCGCTGTCATAGAGGACTGTCAGTGGCCGCACTTGCGTACGGAGTTATTAGCGGTACAGACCTCCTGCTTCAGAGTCCACTCCTTGTTCTCATCGTCACCTCCCTCGCCGGATTCGAGTTTCTTGATTCTCTCCGTCTGCTGCTGTAGCTCGCGGTGATAGGACGCTTCTTCCTTGATCAAGCGCTGGACAGATGCCGTAGCGATCTCTAGTTGGGAGCGGGGTGCCATTGCGACTAATGATCTATGTAGGCATTAGAGATGAGCATTGTCATATTACTGATACTCGCATATTGCAGAGACCATGACACTGTTCAGGATATCCACTGGTCAGGCCTTCTGGGGCTGAAGCTCGGGGAGAAGGCAAGCAGCGCACTAGAGAAGTCGATGCATTTGTAGAATGGAGAGCTCTGGACACGCTCAAGGTTTGGAATGCTCTCAAGGCACTTCTGGGGAGAGATAACAAAGGCATTGACAGACTGACCTTTTTGTATGGACGTCTTTTCAGGTCGTTGTTATCACAGATTTGAGTATGAAGAATGTTCTTTTGTAGTGTTGGATAAATTGCTTTGTTCTGCCCCTCCACCAGATATGATGCTATCGGACGGCAATTTGCATTGTTTGCATTGAATGATTTGGTATCAGCACGTGAAGGCACACCGCCCATGGCATCATCGCAGGCGGTGTCTTCCGGCAGTACGTCAGGATTATTCACCTGACTGAGCCAATGAGCTCATTGTCCACGGTGTATGATCTGAGTTGGAGTGCCTGGTAGTCATCCGCCTTCGGGCTCGACAAAAGGCCCATACAAAGAACCCCAATGGGTCAGAGCTGCTCTCACAATGGTGGTTTAGGCTCTTAAGACTTCTTTCTATATATGTATTTTACATTCGACTCTCACCTTCTGGTCATATGTGATACACATCTCATACCCAGAACTTGGCTAATATATGATTTTGCTCCTGATTAAAAGACAATGCCGCCGCCCTCATTACTCCAGCTTTGCACGGCAACTGCGATCAGGAACGTCAAACGTGGGTCGCGCCTGAGTCAACTTCGAGATATCTGATCGCTCGCTGATACTGGTGCTACCTAGACTTAAATGATATTGGAAACATCCCTTATGCCCTTGCTCGTCCGTTCCTCCTGAAGGTGGAGAGTCCGGAGAAACTGGTGAGTCGCAACATCGCCGCTGGAACTTAGGAAGAAGGCTCTAGACTAATCGATCGCGCATGACTTCCAGAGAGCATTGGAAATCCAGTCACCTCATCTGATGCGCGATGACGAAGAAATATGGCGTGAATTCATCGAGCGGGACATCCCAGAGTCGCACAGGGACGCTGTGCCCGAGAAGTCAGATTGCTGGTATGACGTATATCGCGAGCTTCAGGAAGAAGTGCAACGGGCAGTAGATGAGGATGCAGAGAAACTGAAGATGGCGCTGGATGGGATCAGCTCCGAAAGAGCCAAGCACAGTGCCAAATTCATCACGGACCGGCGCCTCCCCGGCCAGAGGCCGACTGCGAAGCAGCGCTACGCTTCCTACGATCGGAAGATGGGCGGCATCAAACCAGTATTCACTCCCGGGAGGACTGGGCTGGGCTCCTCGGATCCGTTAGGAGCGCCTGCCTGGCAATTCGAACGGCCCTCTGTACCACGGGAGACAAAGAAGAAGAACAGCATTTTCACCGCCACGAAGCGCAATAGTGTGCTGGCTATCCCAACAAAGCAGCTCAATAACAGAGCTTCGCAGGTCAGACAGGCTCCACGGTCCTTGGTTGAGGAACACCGGCGTCCTGCCGAGCCTGCCGTCCCCCGCCGACGAGATAACGTGGCTCTAGCCATGAGGGCACCCGGACGGTCACGGATGCAGGGCGCTGCGGTCTCTGCAGGCCAGAATAACCTAGCAGTAAACTCTACCCTCCGGGATAGAGAAGCTCGGCTCCGTGCAATAGCCTCCGGACGACCAGCTGGCACCCTGGGGAGTTCGCCTGCTTCAGAGATCAGCACGGTGCGGGTCACACGCCCAGGAGCGGCGGCATCACATCCCACGGTTTGTTTTCCCTCCTTGCGATCCTGACTTGAATTCTCTGTTCTAGGGTCTTGGCTGACTAGGCCATAGGCAAATGCAGGTGATTCGACCGCGCCTGGAGCCCGTCCGCCTATAGTTCGGAAAAGACCTGCGCCCGCTAATCCTTTCCTCCAACCTAAGAAGAAGAGGTTGAACTGATATATAAGTTGGTATATGATAGTCGGACAATGGGTCCTTCTTCGAGCCATATATTTTCCACTCATGGACGTGGGCCGTGCTGTGGCTTTCAGTAAGGCCCGGCATACTCGCATCTTTTTGATCGTCATTCTATTTGCCCCTATACCATTCTCATGATTTGCGTTTATTTGTCTTCCTTTTGTTCTTCTCCATCAAAGCCCACTCAGGCATGGTTGGCTTTAGGTTCGGCGCAATGAGCTTTTTCTATTTGCTGGTGGTGGTCAAATCTAGAATGGGTTTTGAGGCGAACTGGTTTGGACTTATTTTTCGTACGTGGTCTATGAATCCAATATATCCTCTGGTACACTGCGGCCCTGATCCACATATAATTCTTCTTTCCCGGCCATACTACAACAGCAAACCTTGTCAACCACAGCCGCCCTTTCCATACGACCAAACCCCACCCTTTCTCCAGTCCATTAGAAACCGCGCTTCGCACACCGCATAGATTTCAACGAGAGGGGGTATTACTGCATTTCTGCTAAGCCACATTTCAACATCGTGCTAGTCCACGGACGAAAGCGACATATACGCGACTCGAATTTATACGCCTGTGGGGTAGGAAAAGACGGGCCATGATGATGTTCATTCCAGGAAACCAGTCCTGAAGCGTGAAAAATGGAGTAGATGAGCATGATTATGAGTATGAGTATGACGGTGACGTTGATGACGACGATGACGATGACAGAACATGTCGAGGGAGGACCGATGTATTATTATCCATGCACGCAGCTACCAACCAGTTTCTCTCTTTCCCTTCCTTTCCTCCGGTCGTTTTTCGTTCAGAAACCACCACGAAGCGCGAGGACCAGGTGTAGTGTGGCGCCACCTTCGAGGTTGTATTCTGCGGCGGTCTTGTCGTCGGCCCTGTTTTTTGAAGCACGGGTGAGTTTTGTTTTTTTTTTTTTTTTTCCGCGGGTCTTGGGTCATGGTGTTGGAGGGAGGGAGAGTGAGGGCAGGGCGTACATCTGCTTGCCTCCGAAGATCAGTCGCTGCTGGACCGGGGGGATGCCCTCTTTCTCTTCGACGCGTTCTTTTATGCGGGAGACCTGCACGTGTTTGGAGATGGGTTAGTTGTTGTTTCTGTTGTTTTTATGGGAGCTTCGAGATTGTTCTCTCGAAGGGGGAGCCTGGGCTGATGGTCTGCTGGCTGGCTGCCTCGTCGTCTTCACCGTTACACGGCGACGCACGGAATCACAGACACGCCGAGGAGGGATGTAAGAAGAGGTAGGTAAGTAAAGTACCTTGTAGTCGGGCTCGATGTCGAGTTCGATCTCCTTTCCGGTGAGGGTACGGACTCTATATTGCAGCGGAAATGCGATGGTTAGCTGGGTTTGGTTCACGACCGATGCCCCCGGCGGCTTGTTGTTTCCTCCCTCTGCGTCATGGGCTTTGGGAGTGGAGATGTCGGGCCCGGGCTCGACGGCGCGCCGCCGGCTCACTCACTTGATCAACATTTTGAGAGCGTGGACGGTCTAATGGTGGAGGGTCGGGTTGTAGTGAAGGATTGTTGCGATCGCGCAGCGCAAAGAAGACTTCTGTCCGGGTATGCGAGGTGAGTTGGGGTAGTAAGCAGTAACTTAAGATGGAGGAGGGCTGTTACCGTGACGGAAAGCCGCGGCGGGGTCGCTTTCTGGTGGGGCATCGGACTTGCAGTGGGAAGGGGAAGAGGCCCGGCGAGAGCAACAATCATAATGCATTGAATACTTATAAGAGTCAGCCAGCAGCTACGCAGGGATTCTGCTCTTTGTCATATACCGTTGACACTTCCTACGAGTGGTCAGCAAGGAGCCATTCTACTTGATGGATACTGGAATGACTATAATGAAGAGAGGATGGCTCGAGCATATCATCAACGACCTTTGCCGGCCTTGTGCTTGGGTTTATGGACCGTTATATATAGCAACTAGCGGCACTGAGTGGCACCCAATGATCCATCCCTACAGCTTCGATTCTTCGTAAGCTCCAACGCACTCGCTATTTTGGACTTGCCTTTCTTCATCTTCTATACTTGATTCAAGCAAATGAGTACTACCGACCAAACATCTAATCCGTTCAATGAACTCATTGCGGAGTGCCATGATGACCCGGTATTTACCCAGGAGGTTTCCATGGCTAGAGCCTCGAACCAGGCACACTCATCCGTTGTTGACAGACACAAATCCAAGTTCGCTACGAAGCCCATCGAACCAACCGAAACATCCAACAAAAGAAACGGCTGCTCGATCCCAGTTTCTCCGGCTGGCAGGTCGACGATATTCTTGCACGCCTGCACGAACAAGCAAACAATGATGAAAAGAGTAGCACTGCGACAGCACCGTTCATTGACCCCCGACACAGCTTAACCATTCTCGCTCGTCCACCGCAGCATATTCGAGACCTAGTGGCTGAGATCCAACGAGAGATCGGGGATGTTGCTCCAAGTTCGTGCATCCCACCCACCTGCCGCTTACGCACACCCTTTGGAGTATCCCTAGGCTCAGTCGCCGAGTATGAATACTGATTTGGACATGCAACGAATGGCTAGGCCTCTGGTTCACCCCTCCCAACTATCTACACATGACCACCCTGGAGATCGCTAGTTGCCGGACGGAACCGGAGGTAGATGACCTGGTCACTCGTCTGCAGCGCAGTGGGATCATCCCGCAGGTGACGGACTGCACCTTTTATCATCGCCCTCGGCTATTCAAGCCGGTGATTAGCTACGATGCGACGGCAATGGCGCTGAGTTTCGTCCCTGAAGCTAGCGGGGACATGATGGGCCATGTCCACGAGAAAGAATACCAGAACGAGCAGTATACATATCACCATTTGCGAAGAGACGTCTCCGCGCAGATTGCGGCAATCGGACTGCCGATGAAGCCCAGGTACATTGCGCCGTCGGCGCATATTACCATCGCACGATTCATCACTCGCGAGGGATCCTTGCGGGAGACGCCTGGCCCAGACGGGCTAAAAAAGGTCGGTGACGATCAAGTTGCCTTGTTGATTAGGAAGATTGAGTCAGTCAATGAGAGGCTCCGGGCGAAATATTGGCCCCGTGAACGAGGAGAGCCCATACCTCGGAAAGGCGAGTGGGTCGTTGGACAGGAGCGAGGGCTGGAAATCTGTGTTGGGAGGTCATTCTATGGCGGCGGGGAGTGTGCCTACGTAGGGAAAGGCTTTTGAGATAGAGACTCCTGAAGTAAACTCCAATAGAGGTTGCCAACCTTCCCATAAAGTAATCGGGACTGTTGTTACGGTCTGTTTCATACCTTGTGATTGAAATGATAACGAAAGCGGAAGAGGGCCGATAGCTACTACGTATCGTTGCCTGAGGCACGCGGCAGTCAGTCTTGGCTGCTGACACACAAACGCGGTTAGGCCGCACCCTAAGCGAACGAAATCCCACAACCCACCGCACCGCCGCCAGCCCGACTTGATCCTCCCCGACAAGAGACTATCAACGACCACCAAGTTCGCGATCCGGCCAAATCAGTCAAAATGGTAAGGATGTTGTCCCGTTGATTTCTCACCTTTGTTTCCGTGTTCCTGGGCGTCCGAGAATTTTTGTTCGACAAATCGGCACATGTTGGAAGGGCGAGATGGCGATATTCGAAACTTCTCCGATGGACGGATTCCCAGCTTCGAGCCCGTACGAACCGCCTGCGACCGACAGTTATGGCACCCCCAAAAAGATGACAAAAATGGCCGGCAATGAAGAATCATCCGACATGGCAATTGTGAAGTGACAATTTGTGGCGTGAGACGATCGAACGAAATTGTGTGATCGGACCCGAGTATCGGCCTGCAACATGAAAGACATGCCAAAAAGTTTTCGCTATTGCTTGGACACAACGATCAGTGCTCGATATCCCTCAATTTCAACGCCGCGCCGCTCCCCGACCGACAAGACCACGAAAGACACCCGGGAACACACTCTACTTGTGCTGTCCAGTGCCATCTCTTCATCCGCAGAGGCTGATCCATTATTTCTCTCGAATTCAGGTCAACGTTCCGAAAACCCGCCGGACTTACTGCAAGGGCAAGGAGTGCAAGAAGCACACCCAGCACAAGGTCACCCAGTACAAGGCTGGCAAGGTGAATAGCACCACCCCGCCTCGCCTCTGAGGAAACTCTTCGAACACGAGCGGCGTACTGACGCAAGATTTTGTGATCTCCCTATAGGCCTCCCTGTTCGCCCAGGGTAAGCGTCGTTATGATCGGAAGCAGAGCGGTTACGGTGGTCAGACCAAGCCCGTCTTCCACAAGAAGGCCAAGACCACCAAGAAGATCGTCCTCCGTCTTGAGTGCACTGCCTGCAAGCAGAAGAAGCAGCTCTCCCTGAAGCGCTGCAAGCACTTCGAGCTTGGGTATGTTCCGCCCGACTTCGCGCCCTTGTCCGCAGATGCTAATCGATCTCGACCAACAGTGGTGACAAGAAGACCAAGGGTGCTGCTCTTGTCTTCTAGATTTGCGATTTTCTTGTTCGGCTCTGGGTTTCCTGCATTGCTAATCCGGCGGTGGCATACGACAATGGCAATGGAAAATGAAATAGGGTCTTCATATTCAAAAGAAAAAAAGAATATATGACTCCTAGTTGACGAGTCTCTTGACGAAATTACCCGCGTGTTCCAGATCCTGCGTAGCAGCATTTGTAATTTATCAGAGGACTATGAGATGCTATAGAATGGGTGACCGCAAACCTGTGTCTCCAAGCCTGAGCCTCGCCTTAGCACACTATCCACCATGGAATGCGGCAAGAAGCCGATTAACATTTCTACTCTGCAAATCTCCAGAATCTCCAGAAGATTCACCCACACCCACTGCCTAGCAAAGTACTACTAAGAAAACTTTCTTCTCCAACCAGTCGGACAAGCCGGCCAAATTGATGAAAAAAAGGGGGGTTCGCGTCGATCGGGGGTAGTGTAAGCCCGATGACACTGTGCAGTCCGACATGCGCAAGCACAGAGGTCAGACTGCAGGGTACAAAAATAAGATTAATCAATGTTGTGTTCCTTAGAACACTTTCAGAGATTAAACTGAAAAGAACAGATACTACACTTGATCTAAGCCAAAAGGCAAAGAGAGCTGGAAAAGAAAAGAAGAAAAAGTTCTAAAAGGGTGCCGGGCGGATGGACTTCTTATAGGGAGACCCTGAGGCGAAAAGGACGCTAGTGCTGCTAGCCTCGCTTGTTTGACGCGCTAGTTTGGATTCGGAGGGCTTCTGGTTTCTGATTAGTGGGGGATGTTTCGAGGGTACCTACTCTATGAACTGCAGGTGGCCAGTACACGTGTATATTATGAGAGTATCATCGAGAAGTCGTAGACTTTACTTCTTTGCTTGAGGCTGGTGAGGTTCTGCTAGGCCTTTGGTCCATACTCCAAGTGGAGGTCGCTGTAAAGGTCTTTTACTGCGCTGGCACGGGGCATCCTGACCACAGGATATATTCTCTGCAATCGAGAGCAAGAGGTATTGCGTGCGAGTAAGACTATTGTGTCTACCACAATTTCTCACCAGAAATACCCAGCTGATGGTACCAAAGTTCATTCTAACGGCAATTACTATGTTAGATCAATCCAGTCACACCCCCACGCCAATCCAGGTTGTCACGGGGGCGGGATGGGATCCCCCGCATTTCACGGGGATCTAACTAACCATCGGTCCACTCGCTACTTCGATTGTCCATGCACTTATCTGCAGATGTGACTTCATGACTTCCTTTGAACCCGCCATCGTCGTCATCAACAAATGCTCTTCTATCCTGCCATCATATCATTCTGCACCCATCTCCTACAGAAACAGCAACAAAGTCTCTACCGCGATGCGAGACACGCAACATCACATCTCGGGCCATCAATTACCGAACGACTAACTCCAAGGCATACGTCCCGTCGAATGCGGGGAACTGGCGGCTTTGCGACTGGCATGATCGAGGTCTGATCTACAGAATACGGGGTCATCAAACTCTGGCCCGCTTCCCCAACTTCATACCCCGGATTGGTCCTCATTGCTCGGCCATCCTCCGAGTCGACGTTGACGTCGTACAAAGTACACCCTCGGCTCATGGCCGTGTAGCTATATATCCGCACGCCAGCGCTTTCACGCGCCACCTCTTCACTGGCAGGCTTGAGTATGCGTGATACTAGTGTCTCTTCGGCTTCAATCCCTTTTTCTGTGACGAAATGGCAGTCTGGTATGCTTTTGGTGTGGCAATCTTTGCTGCAATCGGAACGTTCTTGTTTGTAAGGCAGGCCTGCGTCGCGTCTGTGGGCTGTCTTGTCGCTAACAGAGGCCATTTCTAGGGGTTTGACACAGGCATCGCTACGACAAGTGAGAGACCCTAGTGGTGCGACTCTCTACGACAACAGCTAACGGTTCTTCAGCAATCGCCCATGAAAGCTGGATTGATTACATGAACCACCCGTCGAATGGCCTGACAGGAGCCGTAAGTCAGGAAGACCTTTTTCCGACTTCTATATCTAATCTTCGTCTAGGTTGTGTCAGTGTACATTGCTGGCGAAGCAGTCGGTGCGCTCACTCAGACTGCAATCGGGGATAAACTAGGTCGACTCCGATTTATGGAAATGTCGTGTATTGTTGTC